TGCACCACCCTCTAGATCCCCCCCCCCCAGTAGCACAGCGGTATGTGTGCGGACTTACAGCGCTAGAATCCGGGTTTTGATACCCGTGGTGGGCAGAGCATAGATAGCCGATTGTGTAGCTTTGTGCTTAATTACAAACAAACCCTCTACATCCATATTTAATTAATATTTCAGAACTGCGTGAATCAGTTCTTTTCAAGATTTACACCAAACGAAACAGTACTTTCTTCTTCGGGATTTAGATCCATGTGGATCTAAGAGGTTCGAGTACAAGTTTGACCTCAAACAGTGCTGAATACGTTATAATTTCAATTTCTATGTTTACCGCGTACAGGATTTGAACCCAGGAGCGCTAGCAAGCCAGGCGAGTGCTCTACCAGCTGAAAAAGGGTTAACTCACGATCAACTATTTTACAAAAAATTCTAGTGGGCGAATTAACCCACTATCAACCATTTTACATAGAACTCTAATGGGTGAGTTATATCCGCACAGATGGTTCTCACTTGTGTTTAGTTAGCTTCGTTAGATGCATTGATGTAATTTGGAATTAATTTTGATTTAACACAAAGGTTTTTCGCGCTCCGGCAGTACTTTTGACCCATCTAGACATTATTTTAATGTTGGACTATTAGGTTTCTGTTTATTTCTTTTCTTTGTTATTAAACACAAATCTACACAATGGGCTATCTGTGCTGTGCCCACCACGGGTATCTAAACTTGATTTTTAACTTTGTGCTTTACAACAAACGTGATAATAGTTTACAAGGTTACCTCGGTTGCTTCTTCTAACTTGGCTTGCGTGTCTGAAATCTCAGGGTGGGTTATTTTTATAACTTGGTATTTTCCACACCGACAGTATATTGTTATTGATGTCGCCTGTTTTTTCACACATGTAGTACATGTACAGAGTGTCCGAAAAGTCTGAAACCGTAGACACTTCAACGAATTTTACAGACTGTGTTCAACATGCTGTCTTTGTAATTCGAAACACGTTTGGAGACGGTATTTCCATTCTTTTTGAACACATATTCGTGTCATCGTCAATGGTCCGACACTCGTCACGAATTTGTTGTTTCAGATGTTTGGGGTTTCTAATATTTTCTTTGTACACACGTGCCTTAAGCAGGCCCCAGAAAAAGAAACCCATGGGAGTCAAGTTCAGAGATCTTGGGGTCCATTCCTGGGAAACGTGTCTGCCAATTCAATGTCCTGGGAAGGAGTCATTCAACCAAGCTTTGAAATTAAGAAAAACTGTAGATCACCTGTGGTTACAGACTTTTCGGATACCTTTTAGTGCTGCTAGAACTGTACGTTCAATGTCACTGGTTTTGGTTGTTGTCCACCAAACTCTAGATTAGCCAATGATAGAATATATTTCATGTTGCTACCGCCCGCTTTTTCAAAAGAGGCTGAAATTTACCTTTCTCTCCAAATAAACCCATGTGATACAGCTGGTGAGGTCCATGTTTCGAAACTCGGGGTTTGTATGTGACCTCCAATGTAGCCTCGTAGTTAAAGTCACAGTACAAAATACAGACAATTGAAGGTTGGATACTACTCTCGGATATACTGTTTTTCATTATTATTATCAATACTTTAATATAAATTATATAAACGTCATAGTAGACGTATTCCATGGTTTGTTTTGTTGTTGACAAACAAGTGAAACAATGTAGAAGTTTGGATATCGTGTAATGTACATATAGTGTTTCAAAAGTCACTTGAATTTATACAGGAAAAGAAGTACGTTTCCATCTTACATTAGTGATTTCTTTCTTTTACTGTATAACCCTAACAACACAAGGCAAGAGAACACCAACAGATTTTCAATTTAATAATCCTAGTTTTAGGAACATTTCTGTTACACCTCGACGATCTTTTCACATAATAGAAATCACTACATGTAACGACGTGATACTTTTGTACCCCCCCCCCGGTGGTTCAACAATATGTACGCTAACAACCGGGTTTCGATACTCGTGGTGGACATAGCACAGACAGCTCATTGTGTACCTTTGTGCTTAACTGCAAACAAACATACGTCTGTGCCTGTTACACCTCAATATACTTTTTAGACGACACGACCCTTTCGTACCCTTTGTACCTCGACACGCTTTTCACACAATACAGGTTACAGTTATTAACGACTTCATATTTCTGCACCTGGTAACTTCGACATGCTTTTCACATGGTAGAGGTCAAAGCTTGTAGCGACATGTTACCATACGCCACGGTTTGTTATGACATTAGTGTTAATGTAAAATAATTCTTAATGCACCACGTAAGAGTGTTTCACCCTACCAGGGCCCGGCATATCCAGGTGGTTAAGGCACTTGACTCGCAATCTGAGGGTCGCGGGTTCGAATCCCTGTCACACCAAACATGCTCGCCCTTTCAGCCGTGGGGGCGTTATAATGTGACGATAAATCCCACTATTCGTTGGTAAAAGAGTAGCCCAAGAGTTGGCGGTGGGTGGTGATGACTAGATGCCTTCCCTCTAGTCTTACACGGCTAAATTAGGGACGGATAACGCAGATAGCCCTCGTGTAGCGAAATTCAAAACAAGACAGACAAACAAACAATCATCCTAGTAGAAAAAGTTCGCGAGGGTTAAGCTTGCCTGATTACTTGGGGGTCCGGGATTAAGACCCTCACATCATACCATAATTCACGGAGACGTGTTTCTCCTATATGGATCGTGATTACTTGACCAAGAAGCTGCAAACTTCAAGGGTTCAATGAGGAAGACTTATATATAACTCTGGGTGAGCGATTATTTACTGACTTGTCTACACCACCATTCATACTCGAAATTATTATTCTTATTTTATCTTGTCACCCTAAAAATGTCGGGAAATAGCACATTTTATCGCAGACTTGTACACGTGTGGGAAGATGTGTGATGAGTATATGTCACTAATTACACATATATCTTCCTATATAATAAATAACTAACCTTCTTGCAAAGTGATCTGGGATAAATAGATTTTGCAAGTTCAATCCACTCATACTTCATCAAATGTCTTAGTCCAAAACAAAGGGTTGAGTACTTTATATTAAAGCTATTTTGAATATGTAACTCAACAAGTCACATGATAAGCACAAGCTATAGAAATTTGATGGTGGAATGGGAAATATCAGAACTACATTTTGACATTGTTTGGGTTTGTGTAGATAATGTGACGCTACTGACAAGGGTGTGTAATAGCCTTTTCCCACGCAAAATATTCATACACTCAGATCATAAAGATATATTTAGGTCGGGAATTTAGAACCTCAAAGACGAGAATATCCTCTAGTGCTTAATGTCATTGGAAAACAAAGGAATGTGGATTAAAATAGAGGCACCAGGGCTACACAGAAGGAGACCTCCAGCATGTTTTATCTTAGTCATGGTATGCAAATTGTGGTAACTTGTGACATCTGAGAATCCACGTGTCCCAAGCAAAAGTGCGCACACATAATCCAGAAGGATCTCCGTCTGGAGAAGCGACACAAATCGTGTATATGATACATGTTGATTCCAAGACATATCACTTAATCGTTGCATACCTCAAATAGCTGGAGAATGAAATGGGTATCCATGTTATTCAACACGACGACATACAAGTCAAGTTGCGTATGTATGTCTGTGCAACCCGACTGTTGAAACGGGTGCTGGGAAACCGTCGTCCTTGTTAACTAGATATTTTATTGAAACCAACAAGGAGCCATTTGCAGTTAAAACTGGAGAAATGTTGTCAAGACGCACCGTTGTCAGATAGAGCATGACCGTTTGGCGACTTGGACTGCAACGACGTGGTGAAGCTTCAAAATTGTTTTAATATAATACATTTAGCCTCTGTATTTCGCACTGTTTAAGACAAATAGACATCACGAATTCCTTTCTCATTATAAGTCGCACATTAAACAGACATGTTTTCAATTAGAAACAGAAACATTTTCATTAAACATTTTATTTCTCTTTCTACTTTCAAAGTTTATCAATAAACACTTCGTGAAAACAAACAAAATTTAGCAGTGTACGAAATCTGTAGAATGAAGATATTTTTCCTACACTACATTTAACCTTGTAAATTAACCTTTGCTCCAAGGTTAATATAAGAAATAGAAAGAAAGGACAGAACTGCCGTATCAGAAGCTATGTAAGCAAATAAAGCATCTGGATTCTACTGGAAAACAGGCCATCTGTTGTAATGACGAAGTAGTGATAACGCACCTAGGATTTGGCATCTAGGCAGTTCATATCAAATCATCCGGTCAGTTGTTGATTAGACGCGGCTTGTTCAAGTCAAGAAAGTTTTTGCTCGTTCCACAAACTGCCTCAGAGATTATCGAGTTCCAGGTGCGTTTTTGATACAGTTTATTTAAACCCTTTTAACATTAGTTAATTACGTTGTTACGGACGTTTCCACCAGTGGTTCAGTGGTAAATTTGAGAGTTTATAGCGCTAAAAAGTGAGTTTCATTACACGCAGCGTACAGAGCACAGATAGCCCATTGTGTAGGTCTGCACTTAACAACAAATAACTTACGGAACTTTAAGAAACTGCCATTTAAGAAGTTTGTTAAGTAAAAGAGAGAAAAACTGCTTTATTTTCTGAAATAATATAGTAATATTATGGATTATCTCATTGATGAAATCATAGCAAGTGGGGGAGCTTCGAAAAGTTGATGAAGTGCTCGAAAGTTGACTCAATTGAAAGTGTACGTCATAAATACTAGAGTGTCTGTGAGATGAAGAACATTATGAATAATGTACGAACACTCTATAATTATTAGACAATTTTAGAGAGGAGTTAAGATTAATAAATTACGTTTTTATTTCATATTCAAGAGAGTTAAATATTTTTTACAAACGATAAATCGAATTGTTCCTGTTAGATGAACATCTAAAACTTTCTTCTTGTATCAACATAAAATATTCTTTTGAAACGTTAATATTTTCTAAGATAACGCTATCTTGGCGATGAAACTATCCAATAGAAAGCCATTCTTACTGCTGGTAATCGGGTTCTTGCTACTTATGCTGGGACATTACAGAGCAACGACGAGAAGATGGACATCGAAAACTATTAGCTACTCAGCAATTCAAGCCGCTACTATAGCTATTAAAAGTCCACATCTTGGGCATACTAGTAATAATTCTTTCATAGCTGCTCTCTCTCTCGGCAAGAGCCAAGCCGGAAAAAACAAGAACTGGAGTCCTGGAGCGAAAGGTCACCTAAAAGTGCCGATGAATCCATTGTGTTCTCCATGGGATTCATGTGCTGGACGTTGCGAGCAAAACTTCAGTCGACTGCCATTCTCGTGCAACTGTGACAGCATGTGTACGGCCTATGGGGATTGCTGTGTAGATTTCTTGATACACTGTGATGTAAATCAGACAATAGACGGATTCCGGAGAATGAGACTGGAAGCAAAAAGTAGTTACCCCATCTGTATGGCGCAAAATGATTCATCCTGGCCATTCTTCATCGTAAATTTTTGTCCACCATCTTGGTCAAATGATTCTGTGAGGATGAAATGTGAGAACATGGTAAACAGTGTTTCTTTAAGCCTTGTACGAGGGCCAAATGGATTACTGTACACGCAGAACTGTGCAATTTGTAACGGTTTGTCCAATAATGAAACTCTAGGGATAAACTCTGAAAACCAAAGAAACTGGAAAGTATCATCCCATTCGAATAGCTTTAGTAGTTTCAAACATGATTTACTCCATGACAAATACTTGGAAAAAGAGGGAACTCAAACAAGGCGTCACTGCTTCCCATCAGTTAACACCTGTAAGTTCACGAACATGCATCTTCAGGGTTACAGTTTAGATTGGCTTTGTTGGGCTCATAGCGGAATCGTTGTTTCAATTTCTTCTTCTTCTGAGCAGCTCAAAGCAGCAGGCACGGCATATAAGAACGTTTATTGTGCTCTATGCAATGAAGAAGACTTGGATTCGTTAACTTGTCCTGCTTGGATTTTTCATGATCGTTCAGCATCTACTGACCTACTAAACGACTTTCCTAACCTTTCCTCTACCACTTTAGATTGGTCGAGGAACAAAGTTCAGCACGACATTCCAGCAGCTTTCTCCATTTTACTTAATTTTGGGTTAGATGGTAAAGAGCGGATGATGTTCTCTTCCGAAGGAGAAGAAGAAATGAGAAGAAACATGGCACGGTGTAAATCAGGACAGATGTGGGATCCATTTAGTAACATTTGTCGTAAAGTATACTGCAGTACAGAATTCGTGTTCGTTGATTTCCGTTGTGTTCGTAAAAGTAACATAACAAACGAAAAAGAACCTGGTTCTGAGGGAGATCCAATACTAGCAGATGTAGATTCTATATTTGTGGGTTTGGTGCTTACCATTGAAATGGATTATTTTGATGTGTTGGAAATCATTAAAAATGAAAAATTAAATATGAGAAATATGATCAAAATATCACTGGCCAAAATGTACAAGATTAGTGCTGATCGAATCCAAGATGTTCAAATCAAAATGCAACCATATTCTCTGATGCTTAACGACTCAGAAACAGAAAATATTATGTTCGAAAGCCTTTTCGCAAATCCTGTGGTGTTTAAAGTTGAATTCAAATTGTATGAACCTTGCGATAACTTAACCAAGTCAGAACCAACCGTAGACAGCATAGTCTCCAGCATGTCTTCATCTGTTGCCCAAAACACCTTTTACTTGGACATTTACAACAGAACCAGTAAAGTTTTTGAAATCCACGAAAGCTTGGAAACTCTAACCGATTGGTGTGGACCTCGATCCAATGGACGACAACTGGATTACTGGAATCAAGAGTTTACTTTGATACTAAACGAAAACTCTACTGCTGTTGACACTTGGGTTAAATCTGTCTACATCAATGGTACTGGAAGGATATACGAGAAAGGGGAGTTCATTGCTAATATCTTATTTCAAGGGTACAGAGACTTTGGAAATTTGATAAACGTGAGTGGAGTTGTTGTGGTGTGTGAGCGGGAGTTGCTGAATGCTTCTTGTCCTAGAATGGAGTTAAAGGAAAAAGAATTTGAAATATTGCCGAATAAAACTTTAATCTATCATGGCGATCCAATCTTGGAATCTTGTCTTGATTTATCTCAGTATGAAATAACACACAACAGTAGCATCTTGGTATGTTATGACGTTGATAAATTGAAGTCTCTGCTCCGAAAAGATGTCTACCGACTGAATTTCGATCAGACAGAAGCTTACGTTAGTTTCGTACTCACTTGTATTTCAATATTAGCATTAGCCGTGGTACTTTTCACTTATATTGTATTTACAAAACATCGAAATCTTCCTGGTTGTAATTTGATGAATCTGACTCTTTCACTGTTCACTATGCAACTGAGTTTCCTAATTGGTCAGAGAACAGAAGTGACTGGGGCTTCATGTATAGTGGCAGGAATTCTTCTTCACTATGAGATTTTAGCTTCTTTCTTCTGGATGAATGTCATGGCTTTTGATCTTTACCAGACTTTTGGTCACGAAAAAGTCTTGCCACTTATTCGAAGTAAAAGAAAATATTTGCCACGATATATGGCCTACTCTTACGGATTGCCATTGGTTATTGTATCAATTGCTTTTGCTGCTGACAGCTGGAATTATGATATAATAGCTCCAAGATACGGAGAAGAAAACACCTGTTGGATCGCCAATCGATATGCAGCGCTTCTCTTCTTTGCCTCTCCCTTGGCTCTTGTCATGATTTCTAATCTCTGTTTTTATATATTAACCATATCATCTGTTTTAGTTGTGCAGAGAAAAATTAAGTTCAGTCGACAACACGCTCAAGGTAAGAGTGACGTCATTCTTTATGCCAGAATGGCCACGGTTATGGGTTTCACTTGGATTTTTGGCTTCGCTGCTGCCTTGATCCCAAATGAAGGATTCCCTAGGAAAATACTTGTTTATTTGTTTCTTGGATTTAACTGTCTTCAAGGGCTTTTTATTTTCTTCGCATTCGTATGTAATCGACGCGTTGCAAGACTTCTCCAAAATATGTTTTTGACAACAAAACATTCACGGTTAGTGAAATGCCATTATTGTCACAGGATAATATGTACATGCGAAGCAAACATTATGATGCGAAGCGCATCTGCCGATACTTGTTTTTCTACTGTTTCATTGTCCACAATCTCTGAAGATTGTGGAAAAAAAGAACCAAAGATTATGAATGCAACTTGGCATCGACAAATTATTAGAAATTCAGACTCATCCACACCTTTACGACAGAACCCTACGTAGAGATGAAAGAAAAAGGAAAAATTTCATTTATCATACAGTGATGAAGGTCCCCAATGGGACAGCGGTAAGTCTTCGGACTTGCAACGCTAAAATCTGGGGTTAGAGTCCCTATGGTAGACACAGCAGATAGCCCAATGTATCTTTGCTAAAAGTAATAAACAAACAAACATTGATCAAGAATATTCTTCTTTGGTGTTTGTGGTTTAATTATGCTTGAAGACGAGTTATTAATGTGTAATGAAATTTAGCTTTTTTTTAAGATTCTGGCAAAAGTACGACTGAGTAGAAGTTTCTGCAATTATTAGATTATCAAGACAAGAATAACTAAAGAAATTATGACAAATAATGCCAAAGAGCAGCTGATATATATATATATACTAATACCAAAATGATAATTATTATATTCTAAACTTGTCAAGGAAATGCTACCAGCTTTAACGTTTTTTGTGAATTTGTTTCAGACTAAAGACAAATTCCGTTTGTCAGTTTGAGCAAATAATATGTTTAACTTTAATATTTCAGGATGTATTTCAATACTAGATATGGGAAGTTTCTTTATCTTCTCGGTCTTGTCTCCTGAGTGTTAATTATAAAAAACAAATTTAATATTTTCTGAAGTCGAAGAACCCAAGCTGTAGAGCAGAAATTCAAAAAATAATAATTAAATACGGAGTTGATACTAACAACAAAACGTGAACATTATTTCCAAAGCTCACAAAAAAATATTTCAGCTCTAGCTTTGTTGTTTGATTTTTAATTGAAAAAACGATTTTATTTAATAATGGCAGAACTCTCTAGAAATATGGTATACATAATAGTCAAGTGAGAATCAGTCTTTTTGTATTCCTATACGTTTATGTTATCAGGTGTTTCAACTAACAGCGAAAGAAAAATTTAATGCCAGGATTTAATATATATTGGTCCAAATAAATAAATATATGTGTATTTAAGATTTATTTTAAAACCCGCTTGTGATTGTAATGTTTATATGTATATATATATATTTACTGTAACTTTGACATGGTAAGAACGAGTTTATATGTTATAGAATACTATATCAACTTTTTAAAATTTTTGAACCTGATTCTTGTAAATATTCTATTTCGGTGTATTTAAATTCCTCCAGTTTGATATAAAATTACCTTTCCATACCAAATAATGCAATTTTTATGTTTATTAAAAAACCCAAGCTAAATGTATACTTACACACGTGCTTTGATCACTGAATATATTCTGTTATAATAGAATATTACCGAGTATTGAAGTGTTCTTGATGTTTCTTATTTGATTGATAAAACACTGAAACTTTATATGATGAAAGTTTCCACACGCCCTTGTTTTTAGTAACTTCATAAAAAAAGCTCCCAGATTTAATAAGCATTAATCTAATGATTCATACAAAAAAAAAAAAAGGGCTGACTATGATATTTTAATTCAGTGTGAAACACGTGACTTATCAAACTTTTTGGTGATCAGTATAGTGCTATTAAATTAAACAAGTGAATCGTTTGAAATAAATTATAAAATCAACGAAGTTTTTATTGTATTGCTTTAACAACTATTTGTGTGTGTGTATATATACATGTCTGTTTTTGTACGATTAACTGTACAGTACCTGATTAATTAATATAAGCATTTTTCAATGAGTTATTAAAATTAAACAGTAAAATGTTTGACATGAGCTGTATTTATATCCACATTAAAATATAATAATTTTTCATGAAATTTGTGATACATTGCTTACCATAATTTTTTTCTTCATATTATTTTGTATTTTTCGATAATTCTGCATACATTTGTGCAAGGTAAAAATATATCGTGAAGCTTTTGTGGTTTATTTGAAGTCAACGACACGTTATGCACCTATCTATTTGCGACAAAGGATAGAACGCAGTTTGACGGTACTCTTAGGAGTAGCCTGGATGTCCTGGTAGTTAAGGTACTCGACTCGCAAGCTGCGGGTCGCGGGTTCTAATCCCCCATTCACTGAACATGCTCGCCCCTTTCAGCCGCGGGGACGTTACAATGTGTACAGTCAATCCAAGTATTCTTTGGTAAAAGAGTAGCCCAAGAGTTGGCAGTGGGTGGTGTTGACTATCTGCCTTCCTTCTAGTCTATCACTGCGAAATTAGGGACGGCTATACACAGGTAACCCTTGAGTAGCTTTGAGCCAAAAGTCTGAAACAAACAAATCCTTTAAACTCGAGATATCATAGCAAATAAATTTTTGAGAAACATCTTGTCTGTTTCACGTGTGCTCTGATGGTCGGTTATTCTCATAAAGGATAGCAGTAAGTGATATGAAAATCAGGAGCCTCGCTTCAACTACACATTCATCTTCCCTTATCATACATTATATATACATAAATATATACACATATATATAGAAAATAGTTTTATGCCCTTTCGTTGCAACAAAGTATGAAAACTGAAATTTCGGTTAAACTTTAGCAAACTGGGAGATTCTTGTTTAATTTACTTGCATGTTAGTTCGACTTATTAATTTCAAAGCATATAAATCAACTTACAATTTATCACAATGAAAATATCATAGTTCAGTTATATTGCTTTTTAAAAAATAACACCAAAGCTTCTTTGACTTGTTTCACCGCTAGGAGGTGAATTTCCCACACCTAAAGGTCTTCTTTTTTTAAGAGCTTGAAATGTGCGCAATATTTAAAATTGTATTTCTTTTTAATATACTGCATTATTTCTTCAATCGTATAAAAGAAATTAATTTAACTATCGTGTAAAAATATTAAATTTATAATTTCATATGTGAAGTAATAGGTTGTTTGCAGATGAAAAATAATTGATTATTTACGGATAAAACGTAATGGATTGTTGATTATTTACATATTAAAAGTAATGATTTGTTTACATATTAAAAGTAATGGAATGTTTATGGATTTAAATAGTGGTTTGCTTACAACCTCATACATTAAAATATGTACATATATGAAACTGGTATTTTTTTGTAGTTACATTGTAGCTTTGTTGTTGACAGAGAAAAGTTTTTTAACTACAGAGTCTATCGAATTTTGTTTGGTTTTTGTATTGTGCATCATTCTTTCGAAAATAAACTTGTTTTGTAAATTAGTTTTTGTCTCATAACTTCACTTGGTGTTAATATGCACTACTGTCGTTTTGTTTTTTTCACACAAACCATAAACTTGTGCAATCCCAACATAATGTGGTTTGGTCAGCTGCGATGGTACTGTGGGATATCCACAGGAAACTGTATTAACTTGAGAACTGTATAGGATAGATCCGCTAGATAAAAGGAAATTCGCTCAAGATATTGATTACGAAATAATACTAAATCTCTTGCCTACTGAGTCGATGTAAAATTAAGTAACGAGACTGGACACAAAGTGAAATACAAAATTAACAATCTTAATCTTTAAAAACACAAACACAGTGAGAATAATTGGTTTTTCTTACACGAGGATGCCCCCCCCCCCTCCAGTGGCACAGCGGTATGTCTGCGGACTTACAACGCTAGAATCCTGGTTTCGATACCCGTGGTGGGTAGAGCACAGATAGCCGATTGTGTAGCTTTGTGTTTAACTTCGCAAACATACATTCGTTATCTACCCCCTGCCTGCGGTAAGCTTGAACACTTACAACTAAAATTAGGGGTTCGATCCCTGCGTGGGACAGAGCGGAACTAGTCTACTGTGTGGCTTTGTGCTTAATTACAAATAAACAAAATTTACCCGAGGCAATCATATTTACTGGATCCTTTATTTTCAACTGTTCAAGCTGAATCCATGTACCATACTGACAAAATACAATGTTCGTTAATTTGTTAGGAAAATCATAATTACAAAGCGCAATTAGCGCTAACCACGTTCTAGTAATTTTCATTACAACATAGGTGAAGCCATAAACCTCTAGATATCACCTGAACAACCGTTGGAGAACAGTGTTGTCAATATCCTTAGACAACCTGTAGTGTTGAGCAGAGCATTCCAAGGCGGTAACAGGTATTTTCCACGCCGAGAACAACAAAGAAGCAAACGTAGTTCAGAAAAAAAATCGATCTAACGATTTCTCGACCACATGTTATGTAAAACCTGCAAACACGCCGAAGAAAGTATAAATCTAGATTGAATACTATATTATTGAAATAAGTTAGAAATGGCATATTTAGACACTACAAGACTAGTAGGCCCTAATATTCGACTATGCGCGCGAGTATACTACTTATGACGCACTATTTTCGTTAATTCTGTGTTTATTAATAAAAATAAGTTTCATGAGAACTCATAAATAATATCATAATAAGTAATATGTTCACATGTCACGGTGGGACAGCTGTAAGTCTACGGACATACAACGCAAAAATTCGGGGTTCAATTCCCCGCAGATTGCTTAATATGGTCTTGGTCTAAAAATAAAAACAAACAACAAACAAAGTATGTTCATGTTCACAGTTTTATAAGGCCCCAGTATCCATTTAATACATGTACTGTTCATAGTCAATTTAAAATCTGTGTTAAAGAGTAAAGAAGTTATCGGTTTAAAATCGAAGTTGGTTAAACTTGGGACGTAACACGAAATGGATAGGCATCCACATGACGCACGAGTTTCAGTTCGATGTCGTGACTGACGTTTTATCTTTGTGATAAAAGAGGAAAAAGAAACACAAAGGTCCCAGAGATTAAACCTGAGAAGACTGCTTGTTCTTTGGTACACCTGTTTAATTCCCAAACAGCCGAGTAACTGAAGTATACCGATATATATATATATACAAAACCACAAAGATGTGAAAGTGCTTGTAACTGAAGAAAATATTCACATTATGATATATTCAGGACAGTATTTCCGAAAGCTCTGTTAGTATCAGGAATTTCATTATATAAATATGTATGTATTTTACCGGTAATTATATGACTTGCTATAGAAGAAAAAGTATTTCCGTCATTCATAAAAAAAGGTATTGACCAATTGAATTTAAAGAAAATTTACGTTATGTTTTATTTTAGGGATAATATAGGTTACAGGTTTTGTAATACCAAAAAGCGGCGTTCGATCCCTGTTGTGGTAACAGCACGGATAGGCCATTGCTCAGCTTTGCGCTTAGTGACAAATGGAAAAGATAATTTATAAAATTTGATTGGCCTATTTTTTTTTTTTAATGGGCACACGTAACCTATCGTAATAACCGTTTTTAGTCAAGGCATAACGGCTTATAGAATGGCTCTGAGTTTTTTTTTTTAAGTAGAAACTTTCAGCTCATAGCTCTGTTATCTTTTGACCGATTTGAGATCTAATTACAATTTTGGATTCAGGAGGCCAAACCCTTTGAATTGATATATTTGACTACGCCCAAGGTCTCATAGATTAATT